AGCCCGGCTGCCAGGTGCCGCCCCGCCCGGTGCGGTTTTGCGGGGCCGGGCTTCTGGACAAGTAGCCAGTGAGGCTGCGCCAGGTGCCTCCACTCCCTCCATTCACCGGGGCTCCCCGGGTATGAATCTGGCCCCTCTTGCTAGTCATCGTGTGGCGGACCCTCAGGGGTCTCTGTCCCCATCTACAGACGAGGAGCCCTGCTCCCCACGGGCAGCCATTCCCACTCCAGCAGCCACGCTACAGGGAGGTTGCTTTTGGGCATCGGCGTGCCCAGCAGGCAGGCAGGGCGACCGCGCCATTACCAGGCAGATTCCCCGCCAGTCTATGACAAGAACACCACCCTCTCTTTGTCCCCCAAAGAGGGCAAATTCAAAATGGCTTCAGAGGCACCCTGGTGGCTTCATGTTTTCGGGGCGCCCGTTGCTTCGGAGGAGGGAAAGGAGGCTGACCATTGGAAAGGCCGGGCATGGGGGAGAGGCACTGAGGGACCAGGAGCCAGTTTGCTCTGGGATCCTGGGCTGAGATCACGTCCAGGTCGCCAGCAAGTTGAAGGAGCAGATGTCACTAGGGAAACGTGCCTACAGGGAGGGGCACGTCCCTCCGGACCTCTGACAGGCACCCTCTTTTCAAGTGCTCAGTGCCTTCTGCTCTCACCAGCATGACCAGTGCCCTCTGGTCTCCATGGCTACATGGGGCAAGCCCTGGGCTGCGGGGCTCAGACAACCGCATTCCCAAGAGTCCCGCAAGGCTGGTCCACTGTCACTGGGCAGGGCCTCGCTGTGAGGCTCGCCCCTCAGGGCTGGGGAAGCTGGTGGGTCTATAGCTGGTATCTGTCACCATGGGCTGTTCTAGGACCCCCCACTCAACTGATCAAGGGGGAGGATTTTTAAATAGTTTCTGTGTGGATGGGGGGCTGAGTGGAAACTTAGCTTTAGAAACAGAGAGACACGAAGCTTCATGTTATCTCAAGCTTTTAAGACAAATTCAATTTCTGGGCTGACATCCCATGAGGCACACCTTCTCCACACATAGCTGTTTACTGTTTAGTTTGCTTCTTCGGGGGCAGGTCGGCCCTCCCCCTGTCGTTGTCACCATGGGTAGAGGGGCTGGGGAGTGAGCTGCCTCCAACCAGAGAAGGCATGTCATGCCCCAGTTCCTGAATTCTTCTGAAATGTCTCAAAATGTAGGCCCTACCAAACGCAGCATTGTTTCTCGCTGTATTTGCTGACCTTGAAGGGCTGGGCAACCCTCCCTCCCTCTGTTTTTACTGAGGGCCCGTCACCTGCATCCTACGCTTTGCTCCCCTGCCTTGTAATGCACCTGACATTCATGTCCAACAGAACGGAGTTGCTGGGACAGGGCGGGGGTGGCCAGGGCCGCTGCAGTCACTGGGAGCCACTCCACACTCTGTTGGGAATGGAAGAAACTACCTGGCCATTTGATGTTGCAGGAAATCTGTCCTCCCAGAGGACGGTGGCAGCCTGTCCCTGCTCCCTTTCCCTGCACACTCAGGTGAGGGCCACTAATGTGGTAGCAAGATAGGGTGACAGCAGACAAGTAAAAAGGGTGGGGACCTCAAGGCCCCTCGGTTTACAAACAAGCACCGCCGAGCTGCTGCCCTGGCCCCTTACGTGTCTCCTTAGTGCCTCAGAAGCCTGTTCCGCTCAGCGGACAGAGGCAGAGCGGAAGGGTCTTTTCTCGAACATCCTCTAGGCCAGGTTTGCATTCACACGGAGCCCTTAGTTGCTTCTGCACTCTATGCAGACAGAGCCCTGAGCGCGTTTCTGGATGCTCAGTACACCGAGTAAGTCAGAAATGATTTCTCCCTTGAAGTTCGGGCTCTCTGCAGAGGGGAGGGCTAGCTGGGAGGTTGGTGGCCTGGTGCATATTATTTCTGAATAAATTTCCTTGGAGTCATTGATCCACTGTGTGTCAAATAAAATGTGATACCCACCAAATTCATGTCCGACCCTGACATTTTTCCAGTACTTAAAGTAATTGCCCTCCTGTTTAATAACAGTGTTTATAAAATTACTTTCTGATTGGCTAGGTCCATGGCACACTCGTGTCAATAATCTGCAGTAAATATATGCCTGTGGCCTTTGGCCTTGGTTTTCAAAATCATTTTCATCTCTTAAGCCTGAACTGGGGGCAGCCCTGGGAGCTAGAAGTCAGCGCCAACGCACCAACCTTCCTTTGCTGCCTGGCCCCGGGCGTTCGGAGGCGCGCGTCAGCTTCCTGGGGCTGCGGGGTGAATTGACGGTGGGTCCTGCACCCTCGGTGACTGCGTGTCCTCCGGAAGGGATCTGAGGGCATGGAGTCAGCAGCCCATCTTGGGAATCAGCTCTTCACAGATGTCACTGTCACCCTTGGAGTGACTTTTCTTCTCCACATTTTACACAGTGAGAGGTGGGGCTGTGAGTGGCGAGCCACTTCCCCAGACCACTCCAGGGGGAGGAGATGGTTTTACGATTTGCCCCCTTCTCCAAACCCAATAGCATATTGGGACTCCTGGCCCTAAGCGCTGATATTTAAGTCAAGGGCTCGAACAGGCCCTTGAGGCTACTCGCCTAACATTTCTGTTCCCGAAGGACTTACCTGATTTTTGAGGGGCCGCTGTCTCTTTGTCAACCAGGGAGAAGGGGTGGGTATTTGCATGTCACTGTGATGTCTGGGTATAGGGCACCTGGTGAGGACACGGCCCAGGGAAAAGAAACCACTCCATCGGGATTTTCCACTGGGATTTAATGACTGGTTTCCTGTCAACTGTCTTGTATCTTTCATTGCTTGTCCCAGTGGGACTTCCAGGAAAAAATATTTTTAATTACTTTTTACACTTTTTATTTTGAAATAATATCAGACTTACTAAAAGGGTGGTAAAGATAGTGCAGAGAGTTCTCACATCCTTCGTGCGGGTGCCTTACATGCCAACAGCTTACATTTCCTTACTCAAACCAGGAAATAGCCTTGATATCATAGACCCATTCAAATGTCCCCAGTGCCCCACGGGTACCCTTGTCTAAGTCAGGATGCAATAACTCTCCTACATGGCATCTACTTGTCCTGTGTCCTTAGTGTGCCCTAGTCTGGGACAGTGCCGCAGTCACTCTTAGCTGTCCATGACCTTCACACTTGTGAAGGGCACTGGCTGGCTCTTTGGTGAGACACCCCTCGGTCTGGGCTTCTTTGCTGTTTTCTCGTGATTCGCGGAGGCTGTGCACTCTGGACGGGAATGCGTGAGTGACACCACATACCCTCCTGCATCGGCCAGGAGTCCCCTGAGGAGTCCCCTGCTGAGGTTGACTCCCGACCCCTGGCTGAGGTGGTATCTTCCGGGCTTTTCAGCTGTGCTTACTGCTTTTTTATTTCAGAATGTGAAAGTATCTTGCGGGGAGGAATTTTGAAACAAAATGCTAACATCTTTTACATTTTCATAGTTTCAGCCAGATCTTTATATCCACTAGTGGATCACTTTTAAGAAATTACTGATTTGTAGAGAGAGGAAGGGAGAGAGAGAGAGGGAAGGAGAGCACCAGAGACTTGCTCAGTCAAGGTAGAAACCTTTGCCCATTCGAGGGGCTTTCCGTTGTTTTTATTTACGTGTCTTTAGTTATGATGACGTTGAACATCTTTCCATATGTTTATAAGTCATTTATTTTTCCTTCTCTGTGAATTGCCTTTTCATTCCATTTCCCCTTTTTCCCCCTGTTGAATGATTGATAGCTTTCTCACTGATTTGTGAGAGCTTATTATATATTAAGGAAATTAGCCCTTTTCTGTCATTTGTGTCATAAATATTTTTCCCAGTTTGTCATATGCCTTTTGATTTTGTTTGTAATTTTTTATCATAGTGAGGTTTTAGATTTTTTTATACTTAGATTTATCTGTCATATTATGGTTTCTGTGACTTACTCCAGATTTTATATTAACCTCCATGTTATCTTTTATGATTACTCATTTTTTTGGCCTTTAGGTCCTTAATCATCTTGATTTGGGGGTAGGAGGTAGGAAGTGAATTAGGGTTCCAGTTTTATGTTTTATTTTCCCCCCAACCCAGTGGCTCAGTTGACTAAATACCATTTATTAAATAATTCTTCTTTCACTGATTTAAAAAGGCACCTTTATTGTCTGCGGAATTCTCAAATGCACTCAGTCCATGCCTGCCCATGGCGCCCATCTTTCCCACGGACCTGCCTGTCATCGCCTGCGCCCCGACGTGCTCCCAGGGAGGCTTCCTTTCTGCCTGAGTCAGGATTTTACTCTAGAGACTTACACCTATTTTTATGATCTTTAGTCTTAGTTTAAAAACTACTCTCCTCACAAAATGCCCGGCAGGATTTTGGGGGGTGAGGAAACGGGATAAAGGTGTAGGTGTGTCGGAGGGTTGACACCGCTGTGACTTAGAGGCTGCTGTTCAGAGCAGAGCGAGGCTTTCTGGTTATGTTGCTCAGCCGTGAGCAGCTGACTGTGCTTTTACTTACTTGTGCAGGCCCTAAACTTTATATCTAGGGTTATTTCTAGATACTGTGCCTCTCTTTCTCGCTCTGTCTCACATTGTATTGCATTATAAGGCAAATCTTTCCTTTGATTATATTTTTCTAATTGGTTATCATTTGGGTTAATCAAAAATACCAATCTTTGTTTGTGGAGTTTACTACTGGCCATCTTGCTGAATTGTCTTATTGTTTCTAATATTTTTTCCAGCCATTTCTCATGAGTATTCTTTTTTTAAAAAATATATCTTTATTGATTTCAGAGAGAAGAAGGGAGAGGGAGAGAGAGAGATAGAAACATTAATGATGAGAGAGTCATTGATCGCCTGCCTCCTGCACGCCCCCGACTGGGGATCGAGCCCGCAACCCGGGCATGTGCCCTGATGGGAATCGATCGCCTGGATCCTAGGTCGACGCTCAGCTGCTGAGCCACGCCCGGCCAGGCTCTTGAGTATTCGTGTATGGAATCATATGACTGAAAATGATAATAACCTTCCTTTTTTTAGCTAACCGAGAACCTCATGTGTGCCTCTCCCCTGCAATGGCCAAATGACTAACAGCCTGAGGAGCTGTCTGCGAGCAGCAGGTAGTGGCCGCCCTGTCTGAACGAGGGCCAGGTCCGAGCTTTTCGGCAGAAGCCGCTGGTTCCGTGCGTGTTCCCGGAAACACCCTTTTGACCATCCAGGTGACTGTCTATTCATTTCAATCAGAGATTTGTGTTTAAATTTGTAAATGCCTCGTATGGATTTGTGCAGCTGGTCAAACATTTCCCCCTGTCCGATGCGATGTTAAAGTGTTAAACCAGCGAATCACACGAACAGCCTCCGTGGCGTCACCTCGTTGTATTTGAGGATCAGCTCTATCTGATCGAAAGCTGTTGCTCTCTCTCCGCGGTGCGCTGCCGCGAAGTCTGCTGTTCAAAACATCATCTACGATTTGCTGCCTTGCCGCTCAGAAGTAGCATTGGTTTGTGGTCTCCTCTTTTTATATCTTTGTCAGCTTTTGACATCAACATTGTACCACCTTCCAAAAAGAACTCAAAGGTTTTCCTGCTCTCTTTGAGCAGCTAAAATAGCATTGGTGTCATCTGTCTTTTGAAGGATTGATAGAATTAATGGTGCGAACATCTGGGCCGCCAGCTTTTTTGAGATGGCTCTCTGACAACCCTCTCCATGTTTTGTTTTTAAATGGTAGTTGGCTGGTTTAAGTTCTTTCTCTTGTGTGGTGAACTGGGTGATTTTTTCCACTTTTATAAAAAATGTACTCATTTAGGATTATTTGCACAAAATGGAATAATGTATTCATATATATTATCAGTGTTTCTCTATTTGTGGCTCTGTCCATTATTGTTTCTAATTGTGTGAGTTTGTGCTTTCTTTCTTTTGTTCACATTAAGATCATTCAGTGTTTCTCGACCTCGGCACCACGGCCATTCAGGCTGCCCTGGGCACACAGGGCCGTGAGCAGTCCCTGGCCCCCGCCCACCAGGTATCCTGGCAACACCCCAACTGTGACAACCAAAAACATCTCCAAACATTGCCAATGTCACCTAGGTGGACAAATGATCTCTGCTTGAGAACCACGGAGATCACTAGGGGTTTGTCCATTTTATTGTGTTTCCCCTAAAAAGATACATATTCATTAGATATTTTTCATTAATTTCTGCTGCTCCTTGAATATTTTTCTTGCTTTACTAGGATATATTTGGCTCCTCTTTTCCTGCAGTGTCCTTTGAAAGCTTGGTTCACTGATTTTCTTTTCTTTCTTTCTTTTTTTGTGAATAAACTAAGTTTTCAAGGTTATGATTTTCCCCCTATGATAGCTTTAGCCCCTCTGATAAGCAATGATTTTTTTTTTTTAATAACAGAAAGTTCTGCAAGTTTTCTTTTAATTCTCACTTTATCGTAATTTTCATCTTTAGGAGGCTTACAACCTGTCATTTGTTCTTTGGTTGTTTGGTTTTTCAGTTTAGGTCTTAACGTCTGGGTCCACACACGCACTGCTCGGGCCTGGCCACGTCGGGTTTGGGCTGTGTCGCCCACTTGGTGCTCAGCTTGTTCCTGCTCTGCATGCCTCGGCAAGGGCGCGTTTCTGTTTGGAGGGATGGACTTGGATGCATGTCTAGTAGACCTGCCTTATCAATGGTCCTACTTATATTTTCCACATCCTGTCGAAGTCTTATCTACTTTATTTGTGATGCACTGAGCACGAGTTGGTCTTCTACGACTATTTTGTTTTGGTGACTCTTGCCCTTTTTTAAATGAGTGCTTTGGGTATTTTTTACCACAACTGCCAGTTTCTAAAAGGGATCTTTCCATGAAACTTCATTATTGCTCAATGTAGGCTCAGATATTAACCAAAATCCCCAACACCCCGCGGGTCAACCGGAGCAGAGCGTGCTGGGCCCGGGACAGCCGGCAGAGCTGCTGGGTGCTAGCTAGTGTGCGGGGCTCCAAGGAGGCCTGCGGGGGACTCTGCTCCTCCTCTTGCCGCCCGGGGCCGTGTGCCCGCTGCCCGCTCCCCACTCCAAGGCTGCTCCTGCCCTTGCCACTGTGCAGCCTAAATGTCGCCCAGGTAAGCAGCGGCGGCTGCAGTGGATCATGGCGAGCTGTCTGGAGGGGTGTCAGCTCGTTGGACAGGGTATAATTTCCGTCAATGTGTTCTTGTCTTATTTTAGTTCAATATCATTTCCCCGTGGCAGCCCTTTTGAGTGACACACAGAATGCGGAACAACATACGAGGTCCTCCCCGAGGCAGAGCTGTGTCCACGTAGGACTTAATCATTCTTTTTGAGCCCTCGTGGTAGTGCTCTACCCCAATTCTGGCAAAAAAAGAAAAAAAAGTCTGATGGGAAAGATTTGTCTCACCTGAGCCAGGATTTGTTTTAGTTTTTAATGATAGATTTTATATTTTTAGAAGCGCTGAACAAAAGCAAGGGCCTTCTAACCAAGAGCACCTCTGGGGCAGAGCAGCAGACAGAGCCCTGGGGAGTGGGAGCTAATGCCCCGCAGTCCGCGCCTTCAGCCCCGCGATTCAGCCTCCCTCCCGGCAGAGCTTGTAGTTGGGGCTTGGAGAGCAGTGTCCCGCGTGGTTCTGGGGGAGGGCGGGGGCTGAGTTTAAGAGGTTTGAGATACTTGGTTAAAAAGTTTTAGCCAAGAATGAAGCAGTCCGGTCAGTTAAGTTATTTTCTTTCACAGATTATTACAGGTGATTGGAGGCCTTTCTGGGGGGGACCGAAATGTGCCGGGCCTTCCCTTCCAGGGTTTCAGGAAAGGGCTGCGGGACCGTGAGGCCCAGGTGCCAGAGCCTCACTCCTCCGTGGGACGCTCAGAGGCGAAATCAGGTGTCCCGCTTCCTCTCAGCCTCATCAAACAGTTTCCTCTGCGAGGGGGGAGCCAGAGCCCAAGAGAGCTCGTGTTCTTTGAAAGCTCTCCAGGGCGGCCTCCGTGCGCCGCCTGCAAACACTGGCTCAACGCCCCACCACAGTGCGGTGTGGTAATGTCACGGTGTTTCCGTTCAAACCTGACAGCAAGTACACTTACTGCAGACACAGAGCTGGGGAGGGGGTGGCCGGTTAGGACCTGTCCCACGCAGTGCACAGCCACCCTCTGCTCACCTCCACCATCCTCAAACTGAGGGTTAAAATTAAGTGTCTGGCTTCTGCATTTAAACGGCAACCTTTAATGACCAAAACGAGCTCACTGTGAACTTCCCAGCCTGAGGCACCCATTCGTCCTGCCGCTGCAGAGGCCGGGCAGTTCCCGTCGGCTTAGTTCCCACAGTCCTAGGCCGAGGGGCAGAACAGAGGCCCCTGATGCAAATGGGTGTTTGGGGCAACTTGCTATATATGAAAGCTGTGGGTGCGCCAGCAGCTGCACTGCCCCAAAGCAGGGGCTAATAATGCAGATTTCAGTGGTGTTTAGCGGGAGCACAGTCTCAGACAATCAGTAGGTTCAGCTGGATTCAGATTCGATGAGCCGCCAGGGTTTGGAGAGTTCTGTTCTTCCCACGTCCCCGCGGCCGAATGCACTCAGTTCCTCATCCCAGCCGTCCCGGGGCCTCAGCGCACCGGCCTCCTGCCCACAGGCGGTCAGCACGGCGCCTGCACCGGCTGTTGGGAAGCCTTGCGGAGGAACAGGCCACAGCTCCCCTTTCACAGCTCTCACAAGTCTTTTTAAAAATAGTCCTTCCAGCGGAGGCTTCCTTGGGATTCCGTTCTCTGCACCTCTGTATCTCCAGGCTGTTGGGGGGGATGCTGCTATGTGCTTCACCTACCACATTGCGCCCGGGGCTGGGGGCTGGCTGTCTCAGTCGCTGGGGCCAGGGAGAGGCCTGTTGCTGGGAATGAATTAGCAGCGACTCCATGGAATCCATGTTTCCTGGTGTGAGTGGCCGTTGGGCTATTGGGAGAGGCCTTGGAGAGCTGGGCCTGGTGGTCGGACTGCTTCATGTGGCCTGCTCTGTCACCCATTTGCAACAGGGCTCCAGTAGGTCTACGACTCGATGGGGACACTGGGTGTGCTGGATGTGGGGGTGCTGTGGGCGCCCTAGACTGCTGGCATGGTCCTAGGGGGCGTCCAGGCTTGGCCGCACACCAGGACCCCTGCTGGGCTCTCTGAGTCACCCCTCCAGTCCCCACTGTTTTCTCAGCCACACCCACCAGCCTCCCAAGCAGGGTCGTCTGGGAAAGCGCGCAGCGTCGGTCTCCGCTCCCACTGTGCATCCTAGGCCTGAGCCTAGCATCCAGGGCCTGAGCCTCAGGGCCCTCCCTTCACCTGGCCTGGGAACTGAACCAAAGTCCCGGTGGATGGTCCTACAGCGTCGGAGAAGCACTTAGCATGGAGTAGTGGCTCCCAGGTGGTGGCATTCTTATTACCATGGTCCTTAGCATTCATGACTCTGAGGTACTATCAACTGTACAACAGGCCATCTTCTGGGGGGGAAAAAATCCCACTACCTATTATAAAACGCGTTGTTATTTCAGATGCTAAAGTTTAACCACATTTGTGCATCTTTGCATGGAGAAGTGCCGCATTCTGGGGTGTCAAGGAGCAGTACAGACTGGGGCCCAGCCATCGGGGCCTGACCTCTGAATGCCAGGAAAGCAGCCATGCCCACTGAGCCCGGTTGACAGCGGGAATGAGGCCAGAGCTCAGGCTGGGCCCAAGGTGAGCACAGGTGCCTGGGCACAAGTAAACTCAGCCCAGGATGGGATGGAGACTGTCATGGCCCTCAGAGTAGGACCTGTCGGGCTTTGCTCCGACCCAGCCCCACAGCCAGGGTTCATTATTCCTTGACCAATGGATGGAGGAAAAACATTTCACCTAAAAAGTCATGTATTTGGATCCCCAGGTGATAGCATGTTTCCGAACTGGCTCTAAGAGGCAAGCCTGTGACCTGCGGGGGCCAGACTATCACATACTGCAACCAAGAGAGTGATCGGCATCGTTATAAACAAATATGTAAATAGCATATCATATATTAATTAATATATATTAAATCCATTAAAATAAATTATTATGCCTCCTATATAATATTAATTTTATAACAGTT